ATATATATATAATATATAGGCCACCAGTTGAAGAGCCTTGTTCTATACCTTAAAGAGAAAACTGAAGTCCTAATTTGTGCCCCGACAGACTTGTACCTGTTGGTGGAAACCATTGGGCCCCTCACCTGTGTGGGGTTATTTAGCCACAGAAATAATTGATGGAGATGTGATAGGTCACAGATGTTTTTCAATTATTAGTGTCAAATGTATATGAACCATGTGTACGTTAGAGTTGTGTCAGGACAGAGTGGCGCTGCAGAAGCATGGAGCCTTTCACCTGATAGGCAGCACCTCTGAGAACATTATCAAAAAAACACTTTTATGCTCTCTTGGAGCAAACTTGGAGACAAAGAGACATGTAAACATTTTGCCTGCTTGTATTTCAACTCTGTTCCATCTTCTAAGATTGAACTGGGATTAAGAAAATTATCTACTCGTTCCTGTGTGGCATATTTATGTAATCAGTGCAAAGGTTATCCTAACAATAATACATTCACTTATGATCCATATGATCGCTGCTTCTGATTCCTGAGCTGGTAGACAGTAAGCATCTTAAAAACTTATAGAGCGTGACTCACCTTTACTCTCATCCATGTACAATGTCTTGCCGGTGAAGACTTTGTCTGCCACAACGATGCGTCCTGGACTGAAGTGAGGGCCGTCCACACCCTTTTCTTTACACATCTTTGACAACAGCTCTGATGGTTTCAGACAGTCTCTCCAGGCGTTATAACCCCCACTGACAGGCAAAGGGCAAACAGTTTTCACGTGAAAGGATACTTGAATTTATTTATTTTGATTGGTGTTCAGATTGTGTTTCTCCCAACATGCAATTCCTCAGTCGGCAGAATAGAAAGCAAACACCTGCACTTACAGGCTGTACTCAGAAGGAAGCCCACAGGTGGCTCTGTGTCGACTGTAGAATCGGTTTTCCAAGTCAATGCGAGTCTCTCCAATTAAGTCGTCGCCTCCCACCAGGTCGAAGTCATAGATGACCACCGACAGCATAGACTCCTGAGGAAATGTGGCCTGCATCTCAAAAGATCTGGAAAAGTGTAAATGTGAAGCTACTTAAGTTGAACAATTGTAGAGATGTGGGGAACCACCCCTGCAGTGCACGTGGCTTGTTTGCACTGCTCCAGCTCAGCCCCAACTCAGCTCAGCCTGGATTTGCACCTGCACTTTAGGACCGATTCTGGAGGCATGTCCAGAATCCAAGTCCTGCTAATGAAAGTTCTGCTCCTCAGATAAATAATGTTAAATTATTATTTTTATATATGAATTTATTTATGAATAATTTGTTTTAGATATGAATATTTCTGTTCAGTGCCTGAAACGACTTCTGTTGTGACTTGGAGATTTATAAATAAACTAAATTAACTCTGATGAAGCAGATCCTACAAAAACATCTATATTTAAAATTCTATGTTTTTCTTCATCATTTGACGTGTTTGCACTCATTGTGGTTTTGTTTCTTGTATACAGATTATTTTTAGCTTTGATTTAAAGTTTTAACTTAAAGTGTAATGCTTGTTTTGTGATTTGTACATCTGTGGGTTAGAATAAAAATAATAAATAAAATAATAATAATAATAATAATAATAATAATAAAAAACCTGTTTGAGGGAAATATTCCTGAGAGATCCAGTAATTTAGTCTTTTTATTATTTTTCAGCTGAGTTAACTTTAATTAACAGATTATTTAATAAAGTCACAGTGAAAACAGGATTTCATGATAAAGCCGGCACCGTTTATTCATTTTTAATCTTCACAGATAAAAACATAATATTTTATACATAAAATGTTTTTAAAAAAAACAACGCTTCCACCGTTCGTCCCGTTCCTCCCGCCTGCCAGGGCTTGGAATCCGGCCTTTGTGAGCCAGCGAGACCGGACCCCAAGCCCCGGCCTCGCGGGCTTCAACAGGTCGGCAGCTCGTATGATCCTCCGCGGTGACACCGCTCGCTCAAATTTTGTCGTCGGTCACCAAACACAAAACAAGCCTGGACTTCAGAATTAAACATGGCATTGTCATTATTGATTTTAAAATCTTAAAACTAGATCCAGCTGCTGCTCCACATCCCGAGAAATTGCAAATGGAGGATTGGTGAAAAGTTTCTGAGATCCAGTGACTCCTCCCCCTGACCAATCAGAGTCCTGCATTCATGTTTCAGTCCCGACTCAGCTCCAACGGTCACACCAGAGAAGCAGGAACGAAAAGAGGTCCTGAAACGGCCTCGAATCAGCTAAAAATACTAGCTAAAGTACTGGTACAAAAGGGTTCTTTCCGTGGCGGGCTGTGCCTATTAGGAGCAGTGCAAGTAACAGACACCTCCTCTGACACACCTCCATTTAAATATTTACTGTAAATAGATGCACGTCCTGCATGTGGGACTGTCCTCTCTGCATGATCAGAAATGATGTCTAGATGCAGGAAAATGAGAAACACTCCTAAATAAGTAGTGAGGTGTAAAAACATGTTTGCTACACATGCACAAAGAGGAATGTGTGTGTTGTCACGGAATAACTGAACTGGGGAGTGCTGCGATGCACTTCTGACACTGAGGGAATTCCAACTTTACTCGTGCTTAATAACATAATTACTGTAAACACAGAGGCACTCAGGAACTTGGTAGAACTTGAAGATTTTTTTAAATAGTAGAAAAAATGTGTATCTGTGTATTTTCGGGGTGTTTCAGCCATAGTGTAGGAGAATTTGATATTTCTGGGCATCATGTGGATGGCATGGCAACCGTCTCTCCACACATGTGGATGGCTGTAGCTCGGTGGCCAGTGGTTGACTCAGGAAGGACATTCAGTGTAAAAAGAAAACCCAGATCTGTAGGTGAGTTCACACAGTGTTGCGACCCCTGAAGAAAGGAGCAGCCGAAAGAAAAAAACATGTATACGGATGCATAGCACAGCTCAGGGATGACTGAGAAAAACCTGATTGGTGTTTGGTTAGGGGGTGATCGCTAAAAACACACTACCTCCCAATTCTTCTCATGGTGATATGAGGCCCCAGCTCCCTGCATTCCCGCACATAAAGGCGAGTAAAGATCTGAATGAAAGGATCTTGGTACTTACCTTCCGAAAACAGGGTTTAGTTGTTTAGGAATGTAGTTGTCTCTGTCTTTAATTTCATGTTTGCCAAGCCGAAGAACAATGTAAGGGTCGGCCTTCCCATCAGGGTCAGCTGGGTGCAGGTTCGATGCCTGAGAAGAGTGCAGGTTTTATTCAAAATAGACCTGACACTATGCTATGAAGAAATGAAGATAGGACTGAGAAGGACTCACAGAGACTATATAAACCCGTATGAGGACTTTGACCTGGTGGTTGGGAGGGACTCCTCTGCTAACTATGAAGTGACTTGTGTCCGCAACTTCACCCCAGTTTCCTGCTTCATCGTCACTCAGCTTGTAGAGGCAGAATCGTCCCTAAGGAAGTAGCAGAAAAATGTGCATGAAGGAAGGATAATGTTCTTAAGATCCACCAGGATCCATCAGAACCCACAAGTGAAACTTACCTTAAATTTTCCAACAAACCTCTCCTCGGATGCCCCCTCATCCTCGTTGACTTTTCCCCTAAACAGCTCGTAAGTGTTCACCCAATCATCAAACGGACCAAACTCTGCCTCCAGCTCCTTGTTGTACAACTGTTGAGATTGTCAGAAGCACTTTTCTTAATTGCTTTAAGGATTGCCAATTCTGGTGGCTACAAAACAATCTCAGACTATCAGGAACTCTATCCACCTTTGAGCTGATAATTGGTATGAGGTGTTGGTGCTGACAAGCTGTGCCCAAGTTTTTCCAAATTGATTTTCTGTGATTACAGGTAAACATCTCAACAATGGTCTCATCTGTTGAGGAAGCTTTACAAACTGAAGAACAAGGGACACTTATGAGAACCAAGATGTTCATTTTTAGGACAAGGAGGACATGGTTTGGGATGGGGTGAAAGAAGTCACTTGTGTCAAACACACAATTAAGCATTCAGCCTGGCTTCCAGTCACTTTCACTCTAATTCACACCTTCATGCAGGTGACCAACACCTCTCTCTGTAAGACAGGCTAATATAAACCTTAATGACCCTCAGGATGTGTGTGTGTGTGTGTGTGTGTG